GTACGTAATTATTCCTGCTTTTCATTTTTTTTTTTCTCTGACAAGGTATGCATTTGAAAGATTACCCCCCTCCCAATCTAGTGCACAACTGATCTGCCCAACTGCTGAACTACATCACCCAAAATAATGTCTTATCCGGCTCCGGTCATCGTGGCATGCAGCCTTCCCTGCGAGGGCCCAGGGGTGGAAAGTTCAGGTTCAGAAAGTAAAAATCCAGACCAAGATTTTGTTTCAACCAGCCAGTTGAGTACTCTGTGCCTATGACTCTTCATATTCAATTGGTTGGTTGAAACAAAACCTTGGTCTGGATTTGTCTTTTCTGGACCTGAACTTTTCACCTCTGGGGGGGCCTGGCTTGGGGCCCCTTGTTCTGTAATTCCCTCTCTCAGGAGCAGAGCGGTGGGGGTTGCATATAGTACTGGTGCTGGAATTCTGTGTTAGACCTTTGTGCCAGCTTCTTAATGAAAGTGGTGGGTATTGTAAAGCTTCTCGGACGGGTTTTGCACATTCGGTAAGCTGCAGTGTCCGCTTCCATCGTTGATCTGGACCCCAGCTCCTTCCTGTGACCTGCCTGCCTTCCTGGATCGGTACAGATCGCTCACCTACCCTTCGCTAGCAGATTATAGATTTTGGGTCCAGCTACCTTCAACCACTGAGCAGCATGTGTAGGTGGCATCCCTCAGTGCCAGCTCAGGCAAAATTTAGTGTCCCCCTGAACTCAGCCCTGAGATGGGGGTGGATGAGTGACCTTTGACCTGTGATGTCATCCCCTCTCCCGACCTCAAGCTACTGGACATGAAGGTGTTTGTGGACACGGACTCGGACATCCGGCTGGTCCGTCGCCTGAAGAGGAACATCACGGAGCGAGGGCGCGACATCGCTGGAGTCATAAAGCAGTACAACAAGTTTGTGAAGCCAGCCTTCGAGCAGTACATCGAGCCCACGGTGCAGGTGGCTGACATTGTGGTCCCCAGGGGTGAGTGACCCAGGGCGGGACAGACCTGCGGGGTCCGGGGTCGTGGCGGCTGCGTTACGCCTCGGTAACAAAGGTAAATTCTGCAGCTTGGGTATGATTATCGAGTGTGTCGATAGCCGGTCATGTATCCTCACCTCTGCAGGTGACACTGTAATACTTACGTTTAGGAGCATTAATCTAGTCCAGACACCAGTGTTTAATATCAGGTGATGTGAAAGTGGGGCCGTGTGTCTATAAGACACAGTGTTAAACCAGCAGTGCATGTTCACAGGAGGGGAGAACTTTGTGGCCCTGGACCTGATCGTGCAGCACGTGCACAGCCAGCTGGAGAAGGTACGTAGGGGGCGGAGTCTCGCTCCCAGTGTGGGTAAGGCAGGGTGCTTGTGTGTCTCAGCTTGGTTTCCTGGTCCTTGTGCTGGAGCCCCCCCCCATCTTGAGTAATTGGCTTTACTTGTGCTAATAACTGAACGCTTGCCTGAAAATGTACATCGACTCGCTTAGCCATTCATCATGTTTTGCGAGTTGAAATATCAGTGTGATCTGAGCTGCTTTGGCGGAGCTCGTTTACAGACGGGTTCGCTGGAACTAATTAGTTTTTCTGTTAATGAGGTTGTTTTTTTTGGCTTGGATTCCTGACAGTATAATCAGCTGAATTTTGTACGAATTTTGGTGCTACAGTTAAAAATGAGGTTCTTGAGCATTTGTTTTTTTTTTTTTTCTTTCTCAACGCATCTGCAAAACTGAAATGCAAGAAATTGAGTTTAACCACTGGGTAGCATATTGAATCAAAACCTGCATGTTCAGCCTCTAAGACCAGGGCTGTGGGACTGTATTTTCACAGATGCTTTTATCGTAAGCGACCTTGATATCCGCAGAAAATTGTTCCATTGCGTTTCTGCCGCCTTCATATCCATAAACCTCTTGGGTCGCTTTGGATAAATGCATCAGTCAATTTAGATGAGGGGGCAGAAATGTTTGTCTTGGCACTGTTGGTGGTGTGAATGAAGCACTGAATCATAGTATCAGAAGTACCTGTTGGTAGTAATGAAGCACTGCATCATAGTACCCCTTGACAGTAATGAAGCACTGCATCATAGTACCCCTTGACAGTAATGAAGCACTGCATCATAGTACCCCTTGACAGTAATGAAGCACAGCATCATAGTACCCCTTGACAGTAATGAAGCACTGCATCATAGTACCCGATCTACCCGTTGGTAGTAATGAAGCACTGCATGGTAGTCCCCTTTGACAGTAATGAAGCATGCCCAGTCGCTGCAGAGGGCTAGGCTGCTGTGGTTGTTCACCCCCAGCTTCATTGATGCCATGAAATGTGAGATCGACTGGTGGCTCTCAGCCCATGTCGATACACCTTCCTGGCACCAGGCTCATGTTCTGGAAGTGTGTTTTAGCTGAGAGAGAAATAACATCTCAAAATCCTTTTTCTGTTCCCCCAAAATTCATGTTTATTTCATTGCGGCTTATGTCACTGTTTAGTTATCGAATCACGTAGCAAAACTGATGCATGAAATTGGCTGCAGTTTTCAAGCTGAATATCTGCCAAATGGTGCGTATACACATGCGATTATAGAGAAGCTGTTGCCGTGTAACCTTATGAAAACATGACCTTTCCGCTGTGATCCATGGCAAAAAGCTAAAGGTGCTGCCACACCCTAACATTACCCGCCCTCCAGGGGGCGCTGGTCTGGCTTGCCATTTGGAACAGCACATTCCAGCAGTCACGTGATTTTTTTTTTATTTTTTTTTTCTCTCTCTCATTTCTCTCCCCCCTGTCTATCTGTAACGGCACGTTTGCTAAACCCTGACCTGAATGCACTCTTAACCGCATCAG